AAACACTTAAGCCATCCTCTCTGCCTCCCAGGATGAGAATCAGCAGGTAGCTGGACTAGAAGTAGGGGAGCCAAGATTTGACCCACACACTCTGAGCTATGGACCAGGGTATCCCAAACAGCAACCAAACTGCTGTGCAAACCCTGCCCTGGACAAATGGCCTTTAAAACCTCTGTCTGTAGAGCCAACAGCAGTTCCTTATTGAATGTTCTTATCCATGTCATGGCTGGCTCTCTCTTTTTAAAAATTTGTGTTTATTTGAAAGGCAGAGAAACAGAGACTGAGAGAGCCCTTCTCTGGTTCATTCTCCAACCCACCACAGCTTGTGCTGGGCCAGGCAAATGCTAGAAGTCCACAACACTCATATAGGTCTCCCCCATGGGTGCCAGGGACCCAAGTACTTGGGTCACCACCTGCTGCCTCCCAAGCTATGCCTTAGCAGGAAACTGGAATTGAAAGGGAAATAGGACTCAAACCCAGGGCCTCTGATATGGGAAGCAGGTGTCTGAGACCCTGTATCACACACCTGCCCCTGGGGAGCAGCCTTTTTATATTTTGGGGGAGGATTTGAGCAAACAGGCTGAGAAGAGACTTGTACATTCTTTTCTCTTGATCCAAGCTCTTACAAATACCTCAGTTCAACAAGATCAGTTCACTTTTATTGTTGTTACAGATGGCAGCTTAACCAAGTGTGCCACAATGTTGGTCCCAATATTTATTTTTTGAAAAAAAAAAAAAAAAAGGTAAAGCAATAGGATAACTACAATTGTATAGGACTTCAATACAGTTTGTGAAGGGCTTCAAAACAGTTTCAGGAATGGCCACACTTACAGCTGCCCGTGTGGAGAGGGGGACAACAGGTAGAAGCAGGTGAACGACCAGGACAATGCAAGCACCAGAGTGGGCTTCTCCAAGGGTCAGGAATTCTAAGCACCTGGGAGAACAGCTTAAGTGAGTTCTAGGCTGCGTTCAGAGCATGTCTCCTCCCACCTGCCTCTGCTCCCCTCTGCCCACAGCCTGGGTCTGCCTCCTGGAAGTCACTGCAGCAGCTGTTCAGAGACCCTGTCCCATCACTGCTCCCTGCTTCCTCCCCACCCCGGATCTGTCCCCCCCGGTTTGGGTTGTGTGAAGCGGAAGACAATTTGGGGCTTATTAGTGACCCAGGGAGACATGTAACTTGTGCTGCTGGGACCCAAATAGCAAGAGTCTTAGCAGCAAACTCCAGCCGAGAAAAGACAGAGGAATTGTCTCACCTAATTACAGGGAATGGGCCTCTTTGTGTTTGTGACTCGGTACGCTTGTCCGATCGCTTTTGATCGCTCTTCTCCACTTGCTGGCTCAGGCCATTCTGGAATTGTGCTAATTAGAAGAGAAATGGACAGAGTGATCCTGTCAGCCCCGGTTATTGGTGGGAACAAAGCGGAATATTCTTCTGAGGCAATGTTTTGTGAGGGCCCTTCTCCCAGCTCTCATTAGGAGGGAAGGTTCCGAATGCCTGGCCTGGCTAATGGAGCATCGGGGGTGTTCCCATGCTAATTAACAGGCTCTGCCAGAACCGAGCAACTGAACCCTGCAACTGCCCCTGCTGGAGGAGAAAAAGGACTTGGCAAAGGGTGGGAGGGCTGGTGGCCTCTTTACACACAGTCACAGACACACCCCTGGCATGCCAAAAAGAACCATGAACTTGGAAAGACCACTGTCCACTCACTCTAGGGGTGGGCAGATACGAGACTTTCTGATGACACAAAGACCACGTAGGCTCCGGGTGATGTCGTAGCAACAAAAGATGAAGAAAACAGAAAATGGAGAACACACATCTAGAGATGGAGTTTAGCACGAGGTTGAGAGCTGCTAAGAAATTGTGCTATGTGAGCCCCTAGGAGCAGCATCTGCCTTGGCTTATCTCTCATTGCCTCACTGGCTGTGATGACTGAATCCAGAGATAGAAGGGATCTCAGCCGATCACTGGCTTCATCGCAAAGCTCCTGCGGAAGTCAAATCATTCTGCTCAGGCTGTGGGATGATTTTCATGTTTCATGTTCAAGGTCCTGACTCGGGCGAGTCCAGAAAACTCCAACATGCAGTAGCTAGAGAACCCAAACCAAAGAGTAGTCTTCAAGATTCCATTTGAAAAATACATTGGGGGGTGAGGGGAGGTGGCTCAGCATGTGAAGCCACATCCTGTACCTGAGTGCCTGTTAAAAGTCCTGGTTACTCAGCTTCTGATCCAGCTTCCTCCTAATGTATCCTGGTAGACAGCAAATGACGACCCGGTTACTTGGAGAGACCCAGCTGCCAAAGTTCTGGGCTCCTGACTTTGGCCTGGCCCAGAACTGTCCACTGCAGGAACTTGAGGCATGAACCAGTAGATAGGCAGTCTCTCTCATTTGTCTCTACCTTTCATGTAGAAATAATTTCAAAAAGGTAAAGAAAGAATTATCAATACCATTCCTGGTAGCAAAAGGATAAAGTAGTGATATTATTCAGCCATCAAGCTAATTAATACTATATGAACTTTTAAGTGCTGTGTTTACAGGAGAGCCAAGCAAAGTGGCTGAGAATCTGAGAGACTGAAGACAGCAAGAACCAGAGTGTATTGGTAAGATATCAGTAAGAATTCGAAAAAATGCCTGCAAGTCCCAGTGCTCTGCTCCTGCAGACAATGCTGCCCAGTGAACAGGTGCATCACACGACAGATGGCAAAGAAGAGGGAAAAAAAAAACCCACAAAACCAAAAACAAACAAAAAACTATGGGTAAATAATAAATAAGTATTTCCTGGAAAAATGATTCCTAAAGCTGGAGAGCAGAACACTCAGAATGCTGTCCCAGTTTAGCTCCAGGTGACAGACATCCACTGTCCACCCAGATGTTTTCTTGGAAAAACAAAACCGAGTAATTTGCTTTCCTTAACAGGGGTGTCTTTCTCTAAAGCAGCATGCTCTGGGCTAGAGCAGGTAAACTACCAACAGCTGACAGCAGTCTCACTAATGGGGACTCGTTCTTTAGTTCTTGAACTCACACCAGGGTTCTAGTAGATGGCGAAGAAATATTTGTCTGCCAACAGATCTCTTGAGTTCCCAGTGTGAAGGAAACATTGAAGAAGCAGATGTGTCATGGGGACTTACAGTTTAGAAGGACAATAAGATGTGGATTCAGATCACTTAAATATAAGGCAGAGTGTTGTGCAAGTCAAAGGGAGGATACACATAGGAATATGGAGAGAAGGGACATGTTCAACTGCATCACTAGGGGTTACACAGGCTTGATAGGTATACGAGGGGCCCCAGCCTTTCTTTATTATTATTATTATTTTTAATTGGAAAGGCGGATATACAGAGAGGAGAGACAGAGAGGAAGATCTTCCGTCCGATGATTCACTCCCTAAGTGAGCGCAATGGCTGATACTATGCCAATCCGAAGCCAGGAGCCTCTTCCGGGTCTCCCACACGGATGCAGGGTCCCAAAGCCTTGGGCCGTCCTCGACTGCTTACCCGGGCCACAGGCAGGGAGCTGGAAGGGAAGCGGGGCTGCTGGGATAGAACCGGCGCCCATATGGGATTCCGGGCGTGCAAGGCGAGGACCTTAACCACTGCGCCACCGCGCCGGGCCCGACCCCAGCCTTTCTAAGAACACTTAATGATGCGTGCATTTGGGAGAGGACCTGGGGCTTCCTTGGAGTCCCAGGAGTCAAAGCTTCATGCTTAGGTGAGGAAGAAGCCACAGCAGAAGACCAGTCTGGGTCACACACAGAATCTCACAATGCCGGGATGCCAGAATCAGATTGTGTTAGTATGCACAAAAGGTTGAGGCACAAAAAGCTGCTAATTACAACTCTGGCAAAAGACAAACAGTAGTGAGCCTGACGGTTGGTAAGACAGGTCAGAGGCTGGGTGGCCATAAGCCCCAGACCATCCAGGACGATATTAAGCTGAAGACCCTGGGCTGTTTGGAACTGCAATTGAGTTTTGGAAGTGGTCTATGCTTTGAATATGCAAATAGGCTGCTTCACGAAAACTCAAAACTCTCCAATAAAAGAGGCATATTTATTATGAAGACACAGAAAATACCACATACAAAGTACAATCCTCTAACATTCTGAAATACATACATGCACACACTGCACATAAATTTATATTATCAATATAAAAATACATCATCAACATTTCTAAGGACAACAAATACAAAACCAATAAATATCACAATTCTAATACATCAACTTACACTAAGTGCTGGTGAATAAGATGACAGTAGAAGAGAGGGGCCAAAGCAGATCAGAAAACCAACTACCTGGCTTCTGGTTACAGACTTGACTTGGTTTGGGGGAGGTATCTGATATTTTTTCCATATTTCTTAATTTCCCCAAACACTTAAAAGTGCCTGATGTCATAAACTTTCAAAAAACAGAGCAAAGAAAATCTGACACTATGACACTGTATTCTGGCCAGCCATACACACACACACACACACACACACACACACACACATACACTCAACCGCATTTAGTGAGATTAAGAAAGGTCAAGAATAAGCCTAACTTAAAATCAAAGCTCCTAACAACTGAACCTTCTATGAATCACCCAGAAGAGTGTCTTCCTTCTCATACTCATCTTTTGTGTCTTGCTTTCAATGTTTTTGTTTTTTCCTTTTAATAAATAAAAATTATAGGGATGGACGCATGGTACACATGAGAGAGAAATCCAAAGCTAATTCTAGCACGGCCATAAAGGCATAGATGTCAGAAGATGGTTACTGAATCCGAGTGCTGTGTACTAGCGCAACATTCAAGGCTAAAAACTTCACCAGAACTTTCCTTGTGTTCAATACTGCCCCAGGAATTTTCTTTAATAAACTTTAGGAATTCCATATATTTCCCAAAACATTAACTGACTTTATCCATGGCCTAGATGTGCAGGTTTTAACAGGTAACTGGCAAAGAACATGAGAGCCATATTTGAATCAAAGTTTTGCTTGTGTGTATATGTGTGTGTTTCTGTCATATGTTATTTGAGTGTACTATAAGAAGGGACAGGGGGACAAACCATTGCCACTATCTCCCAGTAGGAATCAGCAGGTTCCTTTGGGGTCAGTTAGGGTTTCTAATTTTTAACCAAATGGGCACTCCATAAATCATCCTCTTCTTTCATGCCATTTCACTTGAACCTGTAACAGATGAACTAGAACTCATAAGTCCTTTCTGTCACCTGCATATTGTTGAGGTCTCGAGCACAATGCAACTTGCCTGGGCCTTTCACTACACAAGCTAGTTCCAAGAGAGCCTCAGCACTCAGAGAACCCCTTGCTAGGAGAAGAGCTAGAAGGTATATCTGGACAGCGGACAATGGAAGACACCAGGGCATGGGACTATTATGAGAGATGTAGAATTTAAACAGCAGGTTTATATTTTGAATAGATTCTGGTTTCTCCAGATGAAGATTCTTGGAACCTAATATACACTGGAGAGTTCACAAGTCAGTCTGTACAGTGTGGCCCAGAATCCAGTTGGTCTCTGGTATTCTTGCATCATAAATACTTCCTAAGAAATCAAGTACAACTCAACAGAACCCAGCCACGCGACATGTCACAACTGACTTGGCCAACACTGAGTCATCAAGCCAACACTAAGATCCTGGGCCCCAAATCACTTCAGCAAAGAAGAAAGCAGGACTTTGGGCCTTTGACGACGGGGCCTCTGTTGTTACCAATATCCGAAGCTGAGACAGTTAAAGCGTGGAAGCTTACTGAGTGACTGCAATGATCCTTGGGGAGAGCAGACTGCTTCTCGCGTCGCCGAGTGTCCTCAGAGGTGCAGAGTGCCAGGGGCAGGGGCAGGGGCAGTCCCAGGGCACACCTGCTGGTCTCTTGGGAGGAAGCGGTGAGCTGGGCGGCATCCGCACTGCACAGGAAGGGTGTTCGGTTCCAGTCCCCTAGACCTCCTGTCCACCAGCAGCTGCTGCTACTTCTTGGGCTTCTCTAGAATGTTGAGGAATTTCCCTCGTGTCATCTCTCTGGCTGGAATATAAAGCAAATGAGAGCTCAATGAAAACCTAAATTAGAAGAAGTGATGCTCTTTAGAATTAATTTTAAAAAATACACATGGATTTAGATTGTATTCCAAGTTCCAACTTGCTACCATAACAGATTCAATCAGCACCAACCTCCTAAAATAGAGGACCACAAACCATGATTGACACCACAGAGTCAGCCTGAAATTGTTCACTGTTACAGGCACAGGCTTTATCATCCACCTTTCAGAGTCACCAGGGAATTTCCCGAGAATTCATCCCCCCTGGGGAACCTAAGTGAGCACCCCCTATTGCTCTTTAGGTCTAAAATCCAACCGAAATGAGTCTTCTAGTCTTCTGTGCTTTGTTGGCCTCCAGACTCTTTTAATAATCTCAAATCAAAATTAGAGATTATGTATCCCATCCCCCAGCAGTGGTAGTCCCAGTACACTGTCATACAACAAACAGGGTTTATGTCCTCTCAGTGCGGTTCATCTGGGGACGGTGTAATAAAATAGGGTTTATAGAACTTTGGTCTTCTCTCTCTTGGCATTGTCAATCCTTAGATATTTAATACAGCCAGGCAAGGTTTATATGTCTTTCTCTGACTTTCAGCACCATCAATCTTTGAGTGCTGTAGTTACCAGTGGGTTTATACAGCTATTTTCCCACCTACCAGGCTCTGAAATGAAAGCTGAACACGTCTCAATTGCAAGGGCCACTCACAGGTCCCTTGTTTGAGCTCTGCTAAGCAAACCTTCAACAAGCACCCCCTCTATTCCCCTCTCACCCCCCCAAGAAGGACAGGAATTCTGCTTTAGTCTCCTGCTACCTTTCCAAGTCCTTAGCAAGTGGTGCTAGATGAATGGTGCTCCAGCCCAGTCAAAAGTCACTGGGCTCTTTGTTTTTTGTAGGTAGTGGGGGGTGTAGAATGAATAACTCAATATAAGCCCTGTTACCACTGGGATGCTTGTGATAACTTCAGTCTGTGCAACACACCTGCTCCCACCTCTTTCACCAGATCCTGAGCTCCAACAACAGAACACACACAGTCCATCAACAAGCAGTGAAGACCCTAGCGCTGGTTCTTGCCTCACAGGTTCACAGTCCCATCCTGGTACAAATCAAATGGAGCATTTCTTCCTTCATGGATTTACTGCAAGCCCTCAACATTCAAAGTTCCTGTATAAGATTTCCATACAAGTTCATGTTTACGTATTTGTCTTCCTCCACTGAAATGTAAGAACCGAGGGCAGCTCTTTGGTACCAGACATGGTACCTGCTGAATAAATGATAGTTGGATGAATGATAAAAGCACTAGACCAAGAAGGCACATATAAATGGTAATTCCCTTCCTGTCCACAAAGAATGGACTGGTCTTCCTCTCCCACAGTTAGAGGGTTTTTTAAAAATGTACCTGGCTTATCTGGTAAGAAAAATTATTTCTCTTGCTAGAGGTAATGTCATATATATATATATATATATATATATATCTTTTTTTTTTTTAATAGTAATTACATGGTTGATCAGGGTGGGAAGGATCAAGGTTTAGGGAAAATTGGGTGAACTCATTGCTCCAATTTTGCTATTTCTTCTTGTCGTTCCTGGGGGAAGCAATGCCAAATTAAAGGAGAGATCACAGGTAAAGGACTCTATTGGGAAAAATCTAATCAAGTACTTATATGAAAGGTAGATTTACATAGAGAGGAGAGAGGTGCAGAAAGCGAGAGAATCTTCCATCTGTTGGTTCTCTCCCCATGTAGCCACACTGTGTGGAACTGGGCCAGTCTGAAGCCAGGAGCCTAGAGCTTTTTCCTGGTCTCCCACTTAGGTGCAGGGGCCCCACGACTTTGGCCATCTTCTTCTGCTTTCTCAGGCACATTAGTAGGGAAATTCAAGTGGCTGGGGTTCAACCAGCACAGTTATGGGATGCCAGCACCTTAGGCAGAATTAACCTACTATGCCATGGCACTGGCCCCTGCTTGAGTACTTTCTTGTCCATGGGGGCAACATGGTCTTTCAGAAAACAAGGTTGGGGCTGGCACTATGGCATAGTAGGTAAAGCTGACACTTGTAAAGCTGGCATCCCATCTGGGTGTTAGTTCGTGCCCTGACTGCTCCACTTCCAGTTCTGTGCTAACAGCCTGTGAAAAGCAGCGAAAGATGGCCACAAGCTTAGACCCTTGCCTTCACCCTCTTCACCCTGGTCCAGCTTCAGTTGTTGTGGATATTTGAAAGAAGATCTCTATCTCTCATCCTCTCTCTAGTTCTGATTTTAAAATAAAGAAAGAAATCTTAAAAAAAAATTGAAAGGAAGGAAAGAAGATCATAAGATTTGATGCCAGGGGACCAATGCAGTAGCCTAGTGGCTAAAGTCCTCTTGTTGCATGTGCCAAGATCCCAAAATGGCACTGGTTCCTGTCCTGGCAGCCCCACTTCCCATCCAGTTCCCTGCTTGTGGCCTGGGAAAGCAGTTGAGGATGGCTCAAAGCCTTAGGACCCTGCACCCGCTTGGGAGACACGGAGGAGCTCCTGGCTTCTGGCTCCCAATCGGCTCAGCATTGGCTGAAGTAGCCACTTGGGGAGTGAACCAGTAGATGGACGATGTTCCTGTTTCTCTTCCTCTCTGTATATGTGAGTTTCTAATAAAAATAAAATGAGTTTTTAAAAAAAGATGTCAGTTTAAGTTCTTGCTCTAATACTTAGGAAAACGGGGATTCAGAGAGCTTTATCTGTAAAATGGGCAGCATCTAATGCCACCTGCCCTGCTCTTCTCCTGGACATTAGCTTGGCACAGTGGCCATCATTAACCACAACGCTTTGCAGAGGTGAGCAGGCATGTTCCCATGGGTCCAGGATTTCCCGAGTGAGGCAATGGTGTTAGGGAAGGCTAGCAATCTCCAAACCCCATCTCCTGGGAACTCTTTCCCCTCAGCTGCCCCTAGAGGAATTTTTTCTTTAAAGATTTATTTTATTTCTTATTGGGAAGGCAGACACACAGAGAGAAGCAGAGACAGAGAGAAAGATCTTTCACCTACTGGTTCACTCTCCAAGTGGCTGCAACAGCCAGAGCTGAGCCAATCGGAAGCCAAGGAGCCAGGAATTTAGAAGCCTCTTCTGGGTTTCCCTCACAGGTGCAGGGTCCCAAGGCTTTGGGCTGTCCTCCACTGCTTTCCCAGGCCACAAGCAGGGAGTTGCCTGGGAAGTGGAGCAGTTGGGAATATGAACCAGTGCCCATATGGGATCCCAGTGGATTCAAGGTTATCATGCTGGGACCTCACTATTTCTTTCTAAAGGTGCTATTCAGCCTACTCTCAAATGCTTATTAAGGCCTTTAAAATGCACCAGATAATCCTGTGACAGGGCCAGCAGCAGGTGCTCTGTAAGCAGAAATGAACAAGACAGAAATCGGGTGGGCAGAATAGAGTCCTGTTCCCAACACCCTGGGCCAGGAGCACTGTGTTGGTCTCACTCGTGATTCCTGCCCGCTGCTCTTCAGACTCCAATTCCTTGCTGTCCCCCTCCACCCTAAATAGAATGACCAATATTTAAAAATTCAGTATTTTAAAAGACTCAAACTATTTCAGAGATCACAAAAGAGTTTAAAATAAGGTGAAGATTTTGAAGGGCCTCACTGGCAAGCTCTGCTTGGATGTCACTGATGTTTTAGCAACCCCCTTTTCCACTCAATCATTCCTCCCCCGCTTCAACCTAATCCAAGTACACAGGGCGGCGGGAAAACCACCGTAAAAGTGGAAGTAATTCAAAAGACATCATCTCCTACATGGGAGGGGAGAAAGTTTTCCTGCCGCAGGTCCCATAGAGGAGATATACACATGTGTGACACAGCCGCTCCCTCGCAGAGGGCTGTGCCCCATAAATCAGAACCTGAGAACCGTCCCCTTTCTGCACACCGAGAAATTGCTGTGGGTCAGGGGCTGCTGCGGCGCGCGTGCCCTCCTGTTCACTTGTCATCAGAGATGTTAACATTCCTGATTAATTCAGGGGCCCTTATTTCAGATCTCAGACTTGCTCGTTCGCTTGCTCTGCCGCAGTGAGAAGATTCTTACCGACCTGCTACAGTAATCACAGCCCGCTAACCGCACCCCCCAACCCAGCAAAATTGTTTAGTGATGCCAACCGCGCTTTTAATTTGCAAGACATCAGACACAGAGGTAATTTATACCAACATCTGTTCATTTTTGACTTCTGAAACAAACTCACACATGCTGCCACAAAATCCCATTAGGAGTAGGGAGACAGCCTTCTGCTACTATTCTGTATTTCTCATCTACACATACACACACACACACACACACACACACACACACACACACACACACACACACCTCTTCCAGTAGGGTTTTACATGTAAAAAAACCTCCCACCAAGGATTTTACATGTCTCCAGGGACACACTTTGCAAGACGACTTCTGCCTGTTTCCGGTAACACATTTCTATTTCCCCTGCTGGATTCCATCTCCTCTTCCTCCCAGAAGTTAGTTTGGTCTCACTTTGCGTGAATGGTCAGGCTAGGACTCCATGGTTTTGATCCCAGCATTCTCTGTTCCTCCATACTTCCTTGGTCCCTTCCAATACACCCACGTGTGACATCCTAGGAACAACAGGGGTGCTAGAGGACAGTTTGACTAAGAGCAAAATCTGCCTACTGTTTTCTGCTTTTGGATTTACTCTTTAACAGCCCAAGTTTCCAGAGGAATGCCACAGTGCTACCAATCCAACAGCTATGCCGAGAATGACTCCCTGGTTACCAGCCATAGTGGGGTACGCTGGGCAGGGCAGGAGAGAAGGAACCCGTGTGAAGCTATGATTTACACGGGTCCTTTTCTGCAGTTACACAGGTCACAAACAGAAAGCCACCACTGCCAGCACAGGACTAACAGGCGAATTGTTGTGTGCAGTGTGTGCAGAGGGGACTGCTCATAGAGGTTGAAGCCCAGCGTTCGCCTACACCAACACAGACTCCCAGGTTGGTGCTGTTTCTAT